CTATCTATCTATCTATCTATAGCAAAATGTGAAATGTCTCCATCAGAACATTTTAAAGATATCTTGGCTGCATTATTCAAATCAAACATTAACTAAATGATCAGATTAAATAAAACCTGTGCTGAATCTCTATTTGTATTACAATCCTTTGCTCACAAGGCCTGCTGACAAAATAAAAAATCTCCTGTTTGTCCCAAAAATAAAGTGAGGTGCTGTTAGCAAAGTGTGAGGATGACACCAACAAGAGAACACCCAGAGCTTTCCACTTTCGGCTGCAATTCACACTCATGTGTGCTGCAGTGAAATATTGTCCCTTCCATCTTTAGAAATTACTCTCACATCTTCTATTTGATAGAGACACAGTGAGTGACTCGCTGTCACTTTGGCACTTAGTCTTTGCTGGTAGATCTAATTTTGAAAATGGATCAGTGCTTCCCTCTGCCTCTGAAACCGTCAGCAGACGAACATCTACATTCCTGTATGTGAGATGTGTGTTTCTGTGTGTTTCTGTCCATATGTGTCTAATGTTAGGATGTGTGTGCGTGTTTACATGACCTCTAATGATGATGAAATATGTTGTTAAGGTTGTAGGTTATTTTAGTCATCTGACAGTTGTTGTAGAGGTAGTTGTATGTTGTGTGTGTGTGTGTGTGTGCGTGCATGTGTGTGTGTTTAATTGGACCTCCCTGAGCCAGTCTCCAGGTGACGGAACTCATCTGCTCTTCCCCTGATTAAGGACAACAGATGGACTGGTATCACAACACACACACACACACACACACACACACAGGCCACCACTCACTCACCACCTACACACAACACCACACATCACACACACACACACACAGACAGAATACTTCCACAGTCATGAGTCATCATCAAACACATTGAAGACACACATACTGTACAAGTCATGTGGCCTGTAATCAATACCAAACACACACAGAGTGGAAATATATCTGGCCCTTCCAGTAGACGTCCATGCATCAAGCTCAAATGACCCCTCAGTGCCTCAGTCAATACAGTCTTCATCATCACCACCCTCCTCATCGTCCACCACCATGCCTTTCTGACTCTGCACTGTCCTCCTCCATCTGTTTGACTGACAGAGATTATAAGTTCATTTATTTAACCAGCAAAACCTAATGAGATTTAAAAAAAAGTCTCATTCAAGAAAGACGTGGCCAAAAACTAACAATGTGACCAGCATAGAAATCTGCTTTCCTGTTGCAAAATGAGTCATATTTGAAAATAAATAATATATAATTCATGAATATTTTTACTCGCGTTGACTCACAAGAAGACTGAAACACACACTGACATATCACATCTTTGAATAAGATGTCTTTAAAGCACATACCTTTTAATGTAATATCACTGTAAGCACTAATTTTATAGAAAGAAAGAAAGAAAAATGAAAGAAAGAAGAGAAACTAATCTTTCCTTTTTCTATCCTTGATGGATAACATTGACATACTGAATGCATTTCAGCACTCTGTAAGAAAAAGGTGGATCGATAAGTATCAAAAATACATGAAATGCACATATTTGAGTATTTATTTTAAAAACAACTCTATTTATTATAGTATTATTAATATTTATTTGCATTTAGATTGTTTTAAATTCACATTTTGTCTTTATTTTATTCAACATCATCTCCCCACATTGTCTAATTTCCCACAGATTCTGAGTCATTATCCATTATCCTCAAGTATCAACTTAACAACTCAGTGGGACCAAGTCTCTGCAACAACAGACCATATTAGCTCCAATAAACTGCAGTGGCGGGGTAGATAGACAAACTCTGTGAATACTTGATCTTTAAGTGGTTTATCTCTGTAGATCTGAGTCATCCACTGAGCTTCCTCTAACCTTTAACAGATGTTCAGCAACTTTCCAACAGCCCTGAGTCAGTGTGTCCTGCAGTACACCTGCCTCATTAAAACACAGCAGTACTTGTAAGGACACAAACGCAGTAATGTGTATTTTCTCACACTCTGGGACTAATTAAATCATATTTATACGATGGCATCCAGCTGATACAGTGCGTTTCCCTCAGATTATGAACCACAAAAGCTGCATTCACTTTAAGCTTCCAGGCTGTAGTTTATGTCAAACTAGACAACAATGTTTTGACTTTAACAAATTAAATCAACAGAAAGCTTCAGTTAAACTTGTTGTCATGTGCAAACACATCAGAAGCATCTGCTTTTGAATATTAAAGTAAGATTATTAAACTTGGGACGGAAAGGGAGACGGGATCAAAAGAGTGTGAGGCTGAATAAATGAAGTCTACACAGCTGATGACTCATTAACTTCTCAAATGATCTTCTTACATAATATCGACACGGAGCGGAGACAATCCTCGATCTCGCAGTAAAACTTGTCAATGAACCCAGTGTGACCCTGGAGCAGATATTACTCTACTCCCATATTAATCCGGCACTCACTGTAAAACACTCCATTTGGTCTACATCCATTTGCCTTCAGGGCCACATTAATGATAATTACGAGGCTCTCAGCATGCTGGTTAATAACCCCCATATAATCCATGTCATCGAAGTAAAAAAAAAAACAAAGATAGAAAATGCTTAGCAGGTGATAAAAGAAGAGGGAAACCAAAAAGAAGTATACATGGACTCCTAAAACAACCAAAAAAAAACCAAACAAACAAACAACATGCACAATATGGGACAATATTTAAAATGCACAGCTGAATCAAATCGACGAGTGCTTTAAAAAAAACAAACATAACAATTTCCATTCTTATCTCCCCAAAACATGGAGACTCGCTTCACACACACAGAAACTAACACACACACACACACACACACACACAAAATGAAGAGAGAAAGAGAGGAAGGAGGAGAATGAAAGACAGAGAAAGAAAGAGAAAGAGGAGGAGGAGGGGGGGTGATAACAGCTTCAATAAATCATCCGGGCCAGTCGCCGCTCCCCGGGGATGTGGGATGGATTAAATTAAGCACTCCCTCTACCCGTGTGTCTATCCATCCCTCCATCTCCACCTCTCTCTCTCTCTCTCTCTCTCTCCCCGCGCAGTATAAATGCCAACAGCTGATCGCGAGACGGCACACTCACGGGAACACCTCGCGGAAGCTGCAGAAAGAGAGAGACCGAGGGGAAGAGAGTGAGAGAAGAGAGAGTGAGAGAAGAGAGAGAGAGAGAGCGAGAAGACGAGAGAAGAGGGAAGAAGAGAGAGAGAGAGAGAGAGGAGGGGGATGCTGTTGATCCACTCGGCCGCGGGGAGTCTTACTGTGCTTTCTACCGACTTGGAGTGGGGTGTAAGTCCGTCATTAACGGGAACTAGGGACTACTTCTTGCGGCACGGAGAGGGAAGGACAATGCCCCGACATCTTTATCAAAAAGCTTCCAAAAAAAAATGTTCCCCTCCGTTGTTTTATTTTTTCTTCGAATCCCTTCCCTCTCCTTTCCTTCCTTCCACCTTCCTCTTCCCTCTTCTTTAACAGGAGGGCTGGAGAAGCCGTCGCGCGGCGCTGGCAGGGTTGCCTTCCAAAACCCGCCTCTTGTTTTGTTTTTTGTGTTTTTTTGGTTCAACTGCTTCACGAATCCTTCTCTGCCCGCGAGCCACAGAGAACCCCCCGAGGCACCCCCCTCCCCCCCCAGGAGGGAGCTGTCCGGTGCTGAAGTTGCATTTCTCACCTTTTTTTCTTTTTTTTTGTTGTTCCAAGGGGGACTAACGCGGGGAGACAGCCGGGGAGACTGACACAGGAACAAAAAAGAAATCATAAAATAAGCGGTCAACTATTTTACCGGATCAATTCACTGCTCGCGCTTCCCTCCAAAACCCCCTGAAGACAATCTTCCTCCCGGTTTTCCCCCTTCATCTTGTTGGTGTGTGACGGGCGACTCACCGAGCACGCTGGCCAGGCCGTCGGCGATCGGCTGTGTTTGTGGAGTGTGTGTGAGTGTGTGTGTGTCGGGTGTCGCACCACCATGCCAAGGTCTTTCTTGGTGAAAAAGGTGAAATTGGATGATTTCTCCACCGGGGCGGATTTGGAGAACGCCTACCGGCACAGGACAGACCTCAGCCTGCGGCTTCATGACAAAGGTAGGTCAGGCTTCCTACACACGCAGCATTAACAGGTGTCTCAAAAAAACAAGTCGCTCTGACAAGAGGAAGAGAGGGAGGAGGAGGAGGAGGAGGAGGAGGGTGACAGGCAGGGGAGCCTAACGAGGCTGTGTCCAAAATAAGGCGACATCTATGTGACTAAGAGGTGGATTTTACCTGTTGTGTCCTGGAGGGATTCCCTCACTGAGATTGTCCACTGACCCCAGTGGTTGACACTTTGGTGCAGACCTGAAGTGCTAGTTGGTGCAACTCCTGACTGAAGAGACTACTGTTTGGTGTTTGAATGAAGCATTTTATTCCCCATGGCATCACCTGTTCTTAAAATATCCTCTGTAGCCTTTCCATTCCAAACTCCTCCCAGGGTGCTGGGTACCTGTAGGGTGATGTGACTGTACTGGAAGCAGACATGCAGCCTGTAGTCACTGATTACAGCACAACAGCAGAAAGCACAGTGCTATCACGTAGCTGTTACCGTCCTCATGGGTAATAAAAGCTTTCAAAGCCCCACACTAAGCAGTCCTCTGCAAAATAAGTAATTACACTTCACTGCGGAGGACTGTAAGAGCTCAGAGAACAGGATGAGGTAGGATACGGTTAAAACTGTGAAGAACTGCCACTCTCAGTAACCACTACACCCTCCTCAGCGAGCGTTACCACACCACATAATCTAAGGCTTTATTTACAGGGAGTGTAGAAGCTTAAACGGACTTGATTTTAAGCGTTTTGGGTTGGTTGTAGGAGTTGAGTTGCCACTGGAGCAGAAAGGTCACTTGAGAAATCAACTAAATCCAGCACGTCCCATGTTTAATCGATTTTGGCTCATAGTCAGCGGGGACCTTTCCCCCCCTACGCAGGCTAAGTAAGGTTAAAAAGAGATAAAGACAGGACAGTGCTTATTAATATCTGGTCCACTTCCTCTTGGTTTGGTGGAATTAACAAAAAGAAAGGCTCGGTATAAATGTCGTCCTCATGAGGACCTGCTTCTGCAAGTTCACTGGGATGCTGTTTAAGATGTTGCATGAAAGCTCTTCCTCTTGTATCCTACAGGTTGGCTGTAGATGTTTTACACCGAAATTAATCTGACAAAACATAGTAACACATGATGTCTAATAATAGTTTATATCATTTAATCCTCCACTGCCAAATTTCTCCACCAACCGCCTCCAGGTAGAGCACAAATAAGCAGCGGTTTAGTAATACTTTTATGTAACAATGCTGGGACCAGAAGCCTTTGTGTTTTCCTGACTTGATCGCGTAAACCAATTTGCCCCATTGCAGGCTCCTATCCTATGTTCTGTATGGGGATCTTTATCTGTGCTCCGTCTCCAGGTATATACCGGTCCCCTTTTTGCGGTGTCGGCAGATTTTTGCACAACAAAATAAATGCATTACTCTTTGTGCACCTTCAACAGCTGCAACAAGAAAACTGGATCAACACTGACACTCCTGACTGGAGTCACAGTCGAGCTGTTGAATATAAGTTAATGGGAACAGAAAGTAACATTTCTATCCCGAGGGATTTGAGATGTTGGGCTGTCTTGGTATAACTGTTGAGCATGGATTCAAATGTATTTTTAGATTTACTCTTTAGGGCTAACAAAGCCGGGCTCCACTGCAATTATCCTGTGGACAGTGTGATTCATTTTGCTCTAAAGCCGTGAACTTCCTCGCACCCTGAAACTGCGCGCATCACATTTTACATGGACAACCAGAGATGCCTTTGCCACGGAAATTCAGCCACTGCATCGCTTCCGCCCCAGTGTCATTGACACGACGGTGCACATCAACATGTGTATTCTGTGTGTGGCCTTGCCTGCATTTCTCTACTTGTAAAGCAAAAAGCTGTCAGTGGTGTATTTATAATGTCGAGGTTAACAAGCCCTGCTCGGCCTGACACGCGATCTGCCGCCTCAGCAGCACCGTGTAAGGCTGCCTGTCCTGGCCACCTCTTGTCTCCCTCTCTAACATCTGATGATAACTGCCTAATGCAGCTTCTACATACAGCACAGCACATGCTCTACCCACAACAGTGCTCCATGCTAGGAACAAGGCTCTGCTCTTGGAATAATTTATATCCCACTCGTGTTCTGTGCCTTGTGTGTGATGGGACTGTGTATTCAGACGGGACGCAGTTGCAGATATGTAGTAGCAGTTATCGTATGGAGACAGATACTGTATGTTGCTTCTGAACCTTACTCCAAAATCCTCCGAGAGCCTGGATGAATAATAACAACGTCAATTTATTAAAGGAGAAAAAAGGTGTAGCACCAGATATTTTGACGATGCTTGTGATGAACTGTGATCGCAACAGGTTTCCCTTTAACTAAAACATGCATAAAAAGGTCCAAAAAAGACACGATATCAGTCTTGATATAGTGCAGAATAGCTTTTTATTATTTCCTTGCCTACTTTCCTGTGTATCTGTGGTATGTTGTTATTTGGTTGGCTCAATATAGATGTAACTTCTAACAAGTTAAATTAGGAGTAGGCACTGGGTTTATTTCAGGTGTATATAAGATAGAGAGAAAAAAAGAGAAGGGAGCCTATATTGCTACTATTCAGTATGCAATGTCACGGGTTGTGTTTATGGATACCTGTGTGCAGGGACAGTTAAGTGTGCATTTGAGCTAATAACCCATCAGTTGTGTTTATTCAGACCACCAAGCCAAACCTTCGCTGTCACACACACGAGCAGAAAACAACACGTGTGTAATGACACACTTGTAGATCCACACTCAAAAACCATCAGTGAACCAAATCTAAAAGTATTTTATAATGTATAATGTGTGTGCCTGTATGTATTGATGCTAGTTATTATGTATTTATGTACACTACTGTACGGTACATAATTATGCATTTCTATATTTAGCAAATGATGTAGACACATGAAGACAAGAGGGATTAGTAGCATCCTCCAACCTGCTCATATACATCTATACTGTTTCGGAATGAGTTTTAGTCACTGTGTTTTGCCTAAAAAGCTTGGCGTGCAGGTCTTCAACCCCCCTGATCTGTAAACTCCCCCCACACTGTTGACTGCACTGATTGAGCCTGCACAGCAGCCTCGCTGTCACTGTGCCAGCCACCTGCACTGCACTGGATCTGTCCGTGGTGCTGATGCTCATTTTCACACTCTAAATCAGCTTTCTCAAGTTCAGGGTCAGCCTGTGTGCATTTCTCTTTCACAGAGGAAGTGTTTTAACTGCAACCTTTGAGAACTGAGAGGAATTATATCGCTGAATTGTCTCCGGACTAATACTGCAGGATTTTTTCACACTCTACTACTGGCCACAGGTGTGCAGGAGAGAGACAGATGTTCCGTGTTACAATAAAATACTCTCACATATGTTAGAAGTTGTTAAAAGTAGTTACAGTTGGTGCTGCTTTATTGATGGTGAGAATCGTCCACTTATGCAGGGCAGATGCAGGGAATGGGGCTTGGCCATGGTTGCTGCAGTATTACTCCAGGGCAGATACGTACTGGAGGACTGTCACTGTATTCTCTGGACTTTAGTTAGTGTGGAAGTTTTTATGGGTTCATTTAGAGTGAGAGGAGATGCCTTCTAAAAACAGCGTGGTGCCTTTTATCGACAAAAACAATACTGCATATAACCACAGATGCTCTTGTGGTTTAATGTACTGCAATCACATATAAAATTACAGACCCAGAATCCGATTTTACTGGAACCTTCTGTTTGTTGTCATCCTCGGTTTTCTGCTCTCTCAGTTTAAAGGAAAAATGCATCTGGTTTCTCAACACACCCCGTCTGTCATGTAAGCATTTGTGTCCAACCATAGCACTTAGTGAACAGCTTAATGGTGTTTCTACATACACATACAACAACATGTTAGGAACAAGACTGAATGAACCAGACCTTTGGAATATTTATGTCGACCCATCGTCTCTGTGTTTTGTTTCATAATAAATGCACTCAAGCGGGATGCAGACGCAGGAAAAAAACACACCATACAGCTGTATAATGCAAGCTTTAGATCAGTTTAGGGTGTTAACATCACCAAGCAAGCACTTCTTTAATTCCACCAATTCAGACTGTGTAATGCTGGTCAGTATACTGAATCTCCATCATTACTGTCTCTGTGAAGAAAGATAGGCTCGAGAAAAGAGGACTATCTGATTTCACTCTGCTCTTCCTGTCCAGCTGGCTACAGCAGTCTAATGGCGTTAATCCAAACTTTGTTCCCTGTTGTCTCCCTGTTAGACAGACGTGCAGTAGCGAATGTCCTTTTCCTACTGGTATATGAACCAAGGGTCTCTGCTGTGTTGGGGGATTTTTTTGCGCTTGAGCCCCTCTGTGCCTCTTTAAATCTTAATATCGCACATTTTCTTATAAGTTATGTCATGTCTACATCAGGGACGATCTGTATATCTCTGTTTCCCATGCTAGGCTTCAGTGTAAACCCATTTTATTCCACCTTCCACCAGAGTGTTCTACAACCTAACACTGTTTTCTTTTCCACATCAGCTGGTTACATCAGCGACTACATCAGCCCTGTTGTGTACGATGGTGAGAGTGACAGTGGGATCAAGGTGCCCTCACCCGACCCCCTCTATGATGGTATCCACAGTGACTACGGGGCCCCTGACTCTGAATCCCCTGACAGTCCCGGCTCAGAAATCACTGACGGTTACATCAACGGAGATGCTGCTGTGAGTGAGGGTTACACAGTCGATGCCTTCTTCATCACCGATGGCCGCTCGAGGAGGAAAGCTCTCAGCAGTCCCAGGACCATCCAGAGGCACACCTGCAACGAGTGCGGCAAAACCTACGCCACGTCTTCCAACCTGAGCCGGCACAAACAGACACACCGCTCGCTGGACAGCAAGCTGGCAAAGAAATGTCCCACCTGCGGGAAGGTGTACGTGTCCATGCCCGCCATGGCCATGCACCTGCTCACTCACGACCTCAAGCACAAGTGTGATGTGTGTGGGAAAGCGTTCAGTCGACCCTGGCTTTTACAGGGCCACATGCGCTCTCACACGGGCGAGAAGCCGTTTGGATGCGCGCACTGCGGGAAGGCCTTCGCAGACCGCTCGAACCTGCGCGCTCACATGCAGACCCACTCGGCCTTCAAACACTTCAAGTGCAAACGCTGCAACAAGACCTTCGCGCTCAAGAGTTACCTGAACAAGCACTACGAGTCTGCCTGCTTCAAAGGCCCCTTCTCTCCTCTAGGTCCCCTAGATGCATGACCCCCCTGCATAGATAAAACAACTGACAAAACTGCAGACATAAATTACCATTATCCTTACAGACTGACCTGCAGACACAAACAATCTATTTTTGGTCAGAATATGACCTTGCTTTCCCGCCTTCCCTTTCTCTCACTTGCCCTTCACCTTGCTTTCCCTTGGAGCCTACTCATGATGATGAAGATGACGAAGATAGCACAATTTTTCCTCCTTGAGTTTTGCCCACTTAAGGATTTAACTGATGTACGCATGCACTTCCTCAAGAACTGTTCACCTCCTCTTCCTCTGTCTGTTCTGGATAGAGACAATAATACTAAAATGGCTTCCCTCTGGCATCTAGATACAGTACGGCACCATATATTTTGGGACACTGATGGTGATGAGGACGACGACAAAGACAATAGTAAGCCTATAGCTACTGGGTTCCTTCCTGCACTGAAACACAGTGAAAGAGTTTTTCCTTCTGATTTTGTTTTTTGGGGGAATAATAGTAATAATAATAGTAATAATAATGATAATAATAATAATAATGTTCTGCTGCACCAAGTGACCATATTCTCTCCACTACTGAGGTAAAAAACACTATTTATTTATTTATTTATTTATTTATTTATTTATTTATTAACTTACTTATTTGAGCATTTTTCCTTTTTTATTTGTTATATGTTTATACTTGATTTGATAACAATGAAGTGATACCGTTACGTTATTTGTTGCACTTTAATTTCTGTATATGTATGTAGGATATTTGCCAACCTCTTTCTATCACTACAGGCCAAAGCATATGTCACTTTTTTTAGTACTATTTTTTTCTATTATGTTGTTTATCTTTTTTCTTATTAACGTTTTTGCATGCAAAAAAAAAAAGAAATCTATGCCAACATCATAAAAAGCTTATGATTTTTGCCAAAATCCTATAGATAGAACCTGAGGGCAATATTTTTCTCTTGGAGCCTCCGTAGGACTCTTTAAAAGCAATAATCACCTAATGCATGGTATTTTATGATGAAGTTATGAAGTATTACCTACTACTGTATAGCAGTTTAAAAATCAGGTATGTTTTACTTCACCTATAGTCATAAACAGAAAAATACTAATATTACAGACATCAGGGAACATGCCAACGTAGTGTTAGAGTAACAAAAATAAAACTCCTGTCTTTCCTCTCTTGTTATGCACTGCCTGCCTCTTAGTGAGTAGAACTAATGTAGGATGTAGGCTAGAGAGGCTGGGATCAGCTGCCTGCTGGGTGTGAGGCCTATTGTAGGATAACTATAACCCTGACAGACCTGCTCTAGGCTATCTCTAGAATGAAATAAGCCTGCTAACAATAACCAACAGAGGCCTAGTTTTGGATTAGGCCTCCACATATTTCACTCAGATTGGATCATTGACCATTCATGACCTCAATGGTTTATTAAAGGTTCTGGTATGTTAAAATGGCACTTATATGTGTTAAAAACATCTTTCCTGTGTCATGCCGCCAAATAATGTAACAACAGGCCTTTAACAGACTTTTCAATAACCATAACAGACCAATCGTATCTTTGTTCACAATAAATAAACAATAAGGTTAATAGAACGATCAGATTGGAGAACTTTGCAAGTAAATGTGCACCGACACAAAATGATAGTTAGGATACATGGTATTTAGAAATACTCAGTAGACTTCCAATATGAAACCAAGTCAAAGTTTGGTGCATTGTTGAAGTTGGACCAAGGCCAGCTTTAAATTCAATGCATTATTCAACTACCCTTCCAGTGCACTTCCAAACCATAAAGCGTGCAGTCTCAAACCACAGAAAAAGCATGCACTTTAGCTGGATGGACCGAGTGCTGATTATTCTGCAGTAGGCCCCATTTAACCCTACTGGGCCGACCATAGGCTAACTCTATGAGTGATATACCTACAAGACAGGCTTACTCTAATCAACCCCAACCCGTAGACGGTTTAACCCTTTGATCTAGGTGGCCAATACCAGTGTTGCTGAACCCAGTTCTCTGCAGCTCAGAAACCTTTTCTACAGACTCATGGAGCTTCCTGAGAGACAGACTGAGGACACACAGATCTGCACAAAAAAAACTGAGTGCTTGTTTAAACGCCATATGTATTCATTGTAACCTTGCATAGACACACACGTGCATGGGTGCATGCCCACACATGCGAGCACCCAGTGCCTGCTGATGAGCTGTTGTGGGAGACACAGGGAGTATCTGTGTCTACAGTCAAGCTTTAAACAGTTGAAAAGAAATGGATTTAATGTTCAGATGTGAATCTCTGACAAAGGAAATTTTGATAATTGCAGTGTTCAGATTACTCAGTTAGATGGGATTGACTGATATCAAACACGATTTAAGGTCATAGGAACAAAAGGAGAGTCTGTACTAAAACATGGACCCATTACTTAAATTCATTCACATCTCAGAGATGTGAAAAAGTTATAAGACCAGTATGACATCAAAACGTCCACATTTTGTAACAAAAGCCTTGCAGGAGACCATACAATCTTTAAGTATTTTACAAAGAAGCTTTTCTTTTTGTAAAAATGTATCTCACAAGTCAGTAAGAAAGAGGGAGTTTTGTTGTGAGTGGAGCAATCAGTATGTGAGTCACCAAATTGCAGGTCTTATCTCGCTCCCTGCTGTGTGAACTCGATTTGAGCTGCAATTATTTGAATAGTATTTGACAATTAGTCATAGAGCTCCATCTTGTTAGGGCTTAAATTTGTGTCTTTGTCTTTTTATCTGTGATTTTTAAGTCTTGTTCAAAATATTCACAAGAATCATAAAAAGTTGGTAAAAACATTAAAACACAAGGACCTCACACAAATACGAACTAAAAGCACAAGTATGGCAATGAGACCATATATGCAAAGAAAACAAGGCTCCATGGAAGGCAACCTGCGGCATCTGTAGATATAAAAGGCTCATTCTAAGGTAAAAACATAAACAATTCCTATATTCAGGTGATTATACACTAATGAAAACATAGTTATGCATGTTACATTCTATTTCTGCCAACAGATCCTTCCTAAATGTTACACACTGGACCTGTAATACATCTCAGAGACACCTTTCCCTGACAGAGACATAAATAACAATATGCTAATATTTTAACCACTGACTCTGAAGTATTAGTTCTCATTTCCATCTGAATGAGGAAACAGTAATAACACAATTTCTGCCGTAGCGACTGAGCACAGTGCGACGCTTAGAAAAGTTGCTGAACAAACCACTGAGACTATCTCCGGCCATGATGTCTCCGGTTGCTGTTTTACGCGTTGCAGATTGTATCATTCTGTATTAAAACTCGATGCAAACCTTGCACTGCAGTCTAAAGGTCTTAAGGGTATTTGGCTAACGTTGTTATGTGTTTGTATAGTGGTTTTGAGGCAGAAAGGCTGAGTGTGTGCGTCTGTGTGTCTGTCTCTGGGTGAGCTCCAGGTCTGTTCTCTCTAAGCACTTCCATTCTAGTCATCTCCACTTTAAAGAAAGTAGCACAATGAAACTAGAATTCAGGTAGAGAAGAATTAAAAACCTTGTACTAGCTTGACCTCTCTTCTTTTTTGTATTTCCAAGTTAAAGAATGATGGTAACCTAAATAATCATTTATTGCAAGAGGGTTTGTAAAGAATCCTTTGGATTGAGACATTTTTACTGCTGTATAGCGATATCTGACACACCTTATCTCAGGAGGTTTGGCTCTCTGCTGCAGAGAGAGGATCTCCTGGGGGTTTTTTTGAGCCAGAATTCAGACAATGTAAGCACAATGAACACAAAGCATTTTGTGGCACTTCATAATAAAGAATAATCTTAACCAACCAAGGCAGTTTGTTGTAGTTTTGTGTCTTGTCTTGTTTTAAGATATAATGAAGTATTCAGTCAATCTCCATAAATACACAGCATAGAAATAGGAGCAGTATTGGACTGTAGCTGCACTTAAGTGGTGAGTAATAAAGGTTTTTTCATTCCCTTTTAACTCTTTTGACCCCTTTATTTTCTCCTCAGTTCAAGTAGCGTTTAAAGCAATTCATGCTAATTAAGTATGTTTACCTTGAAGTCAGAACAGCGTTGAGTTCATTTACATAGAAGAACACTCAACTCTCAGCTCTGCAGCACATACTTTGTATTAGATTTGTCAATATTGTATGTTTGAAGAGGGACTGGGCTAACACTGGTGCACAGTGTGCTCATTAGCACTCTTTAGGCTGGAAGCTATCTACCAGTAATGGGGCTGCCTGGATGGCTAAATACATCAGTTTTTTAATTCTATATTTGAACAGTTAACAGAGGTCAAGTAGTTTATCACTTAAAGCCCCTGAAAACTTTGTTTCAGTTTTGAAGGATTGCTCTATAACCATTATGAAACAATGCATATTAAAAAATCTCCTACGGTATTATTTTAATAAAACTGAAAACAGCAACAATCATCCAAAAATTGCTCTAATTGATGCTCAGAGAGTATGAGACATCACCTTTTTCTATAAATCTCTTATTTTCTCTCATATTTAAGACCAGTTTGAAAATCAACTTATTTAATAGGCTATTTGTTACAAGTAGGCCTTATAATATCACTATTGCTGGTTCAACAGCTGTTCAATACAAACACTAAGAAAATAGTTTACTATATAGACACATTGTGCACTGTGAACACACAGTGATGGACAGAGTCAAATATTGGAATTGGAAAAGTTTTTTCTTCATTACTGAAACTTTTTCACCAGACAGAACTTTTAAGGGCTTGCTCTGCAAAACTTGTCAAGTGTGAAGAACTGCAGGAACATAATGCAATACTACTGCTACAGAATGATGGAAATTGAAATACACTAGAAGAAGAGAAATTCAACACTTGCTGAAATGAAATGATTTTTTTTTTTACCTCAATAACAACAATAAAGAACTGAAAACACAAGAGCCCGATGATGTTTCTGTGTACTGGAAGAGGGTCACATTGTTGTTTTCTTCTGGTCTATGGAGGCTATGGAGCCGCAGTCATGTGGGCTTTCAGTGACATTGCAGACATTAGCATGGGAAACTGACCAACTAACCTTCATCTTGCAGTGACTTTGAATCAAAGGTGACCTGGTTAGGCATCATTTCAGATGGCCCTCACATCAGAGTAACAACTTTTCATGTGAATGTCAATTTTGATAGCCTCACTGCAGTTTTATGGCTAGTTGATAAATTTAAGACAACAGCAGACAATGCATTTTTATTAGATAATTATTAGATTATTCTGAAATCAGTTTGTATGATAACCTGTTACATGCAGAGGGTATGTAGCCAATCCTCTAGTGAAGTAACAGTCCAACCTTGCTTTTAGCTCCTAGTGAGCACAGGCAGTCAAAATCTATTGTTGCTATGCCAACACTTGTGGTATCCAAGGCAATAAACTATCTACAGTATCTATAGTAGTAAACTATCTGAACTGCCTCAACAAAGACACAATGCAGCACTCTGCAGCTTTATGAAGTACAGTATATCCCCAGAAAATTGGTTTCATAGCAGTTGCAAAAATACAGAAAAGTGACTGCCCACGTCTATGAATCACCTTCTCCTGCCTTCC